ATAACTTCCCTGCTGCGTCCCCGTAGATTTTTCATGGCATCGTGGCTAACAGCTTCCAGCATGACTTTATGAAGCAGTGCGTTGACCTCGCACAGCTTTCTCCTCTTGTGCGTGCCGCACGTGAAGCACGACAGCAGGAGAAAGCAAGGAAAGCCAACTAGAAGCAGCCTTTTGTGCCACAAACCCCAGCTCCCCTACGACGGGTCCCACGGAACGCGGTTTGGAATACTTCCAGATTGTCACACGCTACTTTCTGGAAAAGCTCTCGACCCTCCGAGATTGCAAGGGAGTTCCGCTAGCATGGCACACCACCTTGCACCCATTTCTCGTTTACCCAAAGTATACTGAAAGTATACGGCATGCTTGTCAACAATGCTTAACTCGACGTTTGCGATTTTTCGACGCCCTGCCACATCTCCGACATGATGGCTCTGCATAGCGAGTGCGTTGGGCCGATGCTGGTCCACTATTCCTGTCAGGCAGCTTTCAGCAAGTCTGCATGGCTGTTCTTTCTACCTCTTTTGACTTTCGACGCGTTTGATGAGTACGCACCACAGCGATTTGTGACAGGCGCATAGCTCGCCTCGTTTTCTCTATTTTTCACCGAAAGCACAGCATGCAGGCGACAGGGCATCACCCCAATCTGACTTGGCGGCTCGTCTGACTTTCTGGATGTGTATGTGGCAGTCATCCAACCGTTTTAGATGGGACGATGTTGGAGGCCACGACTCTAGGGGTTTTCCCTATTGGCATGAGAGGTCGCCGAAGAGACGGCGAGGAACAACCTGCGACGACGAAAAGAGACGACATTCATCAATATTATTTATGACTTTTGGCTGTGGGTGGACGAGACACGCCGAGGTCCACGAGCCACCCCCTCCCCCCTCTTCTGCTCGTGAGAGCGCGCCATGTCCCGCTGCTTAGCTCTATTTTTTTTTTCGAGAAGGAGCTTGTCCCTGCTGATACCACCGATAACCCATGTGTTTGATCTCCACTTTGTACGGAAATGAAGCAAAATTGGCTTTGAATCATACGCCACGTTTGGTGGGGCCGGGGAACTATCTTGACTTCGCCTCTTGGAGTGTTGGGTCTACGGATGGATAAATGGACTCCCATTTCGATAGCTACCTCTCCCGTAGAAGGAAATGAGATGCTTTACTGCTGACTTCAGGCAGCGACGAAGTTTCCCGAAATCTACTGTGATTGCCGGGGCCTGTGTACCTGACTTGATGCGCTCGCATGTTAATCGTAATCAAGATCGGTAGGGCCTTTCTTCTGGGTAACTGAGCCTCATCGCTTGGTAAACTTAGCGAAACGCGCGAGCATGTTCTGTAGCACGATCACGGAGCTGTGAGGCTGTCGCTGTGGATAGACAGTGACCCTCGTTAGATGGAGTACGGTGCAAACCTGGAAGCCGAGGCACGGCACCTGGCTCTAGCACACCAGGCCTCCTGAAAACTCAAGGTCGGGCAACGCATGAGGTTTGAGGAACGACTTCTAACTGCCTCTGCATTCTTTGAAGTTCCCTGCGCTTGACTAGGGCCAACAGTATCGGAACTGGAGCCTTGTGGAAAGCCGGGTTGTGTATGCATCGGCCAGGCGAAGCTTACACGTCACAGCTTACAGCTAGAGTTCGCAGCATGTGCTTCTTCAATCTTGTTCTTCCCGAATAAATAGCCCTGTGCCACTGCTATGGAGGGAGTGATGGTTCAAGGATATTTACTAGAAGATAGCAGGGCGCACGTGAGGTTTGACAACGATACCAGAAGTTTGGCGTGAATTGACCTCACGTGATAGAGGGTAGGAGAGCTCGAAACTTTGTTCTTTGGATCCATCTTTGTTCAGAAGCATCAAATTTCTGACCTCGGCTCCTTGAAGAAACAGACACCTGCATTCAGTGTGCTGACGCCATCCTTGTATGCGCTACAACGAATCCAGCTGTGGCCTCTAAGGCCATGCTAGCTGTCTTCGTCCCCGGAGAGAATTGTTACAGTGCTATTTGAGGCCGGGACATGGATCCATTCCGTGTTGATTTGAAGAGGAATAGCAAGAACTCCCCCACGGCTTCTGGCATCTGGTGACCCTTGCTCAGTGTTTGGCTGGCGAAATGCGTCAATGGAAGAACCCTAACACATTGAACTACGACTGATGCCGCTGGAGAGACGCAGTTTCATGCCCAGCGCGGGGATTGTGCTTCCAGGTCGTAAGTAAACCTGTACATGGAAGGGTATGTCGACGCATCATGCCGTCCATGTGTGCTGTGTATTGCCCTTGGAATCGATAGTCCATTTCTGTACCTTCGCCCCTGGACACTCAAGACTTGTCAGTGAATGGCTTGGAAGCTTGAGTGAGACTGATGCCGATAATCCCATATACACGAGCAGTGCATCTGGGTTGTGAGTTGCTGCTCTTAAGCCTTGATATCATCAACTTTGTCTCTTTCGAGCTCGCCTTGGAGCATGTCATCCGCCCTGGAGACTCTCAGCCTGCGGCAACAAGTTAGTCTCCCAATAAGCTGGCCCCGGCTTAGAGTGGCGTGCAGTCGACCCTCAGTCTCCCAAGGACTGCCATGGCCTCCGACCACCAACGTACATACAGACCAGGAGATAAATCAGAGGTACAGCGAGCCAACCTTGCTAGAGCGTCGTGTTGAGGTATCTTCGATATGATCGCGACTTGGACATAGCAGAGAGGTCGTGAGCTTTTCGTAAGACACAAAATCATAGAATATCGGCACCGCAATCGAGGTTTTGACCATGTTGTTTGTAGTCAGGACACTATAACAAGCTGGCGGAGCGAGCTTGATCAGTTTAGTGGACGCTCGCTTCGCATTCATCTTCCGCTGTAATTAGACAAAAAACACGACAAACGAGACTGAACAACGCAGTATGGTATGACAGACCACAAAAGGATCTGGTAGTGAGTATTAAGAACGCTAATGCGACCCAATCGGCTTCTCTTTTTATGTCAACGAGTCAAGAAAAACCACTGTGATTCCGAGCTTGTTCCCAAAGCTCCAACCTGTAACGCCTGAACCGATTCTAGGGTATATCCGAAACCAAGCTTTCTATCCGCCAGAATTTCTTTATCCAGAGGAGAGCGACCTTAGTAGCAGGAGTAGCCACCGTCAATGAGGACGTTGGAGCCGGTCATGAAGCCGGAAGCGTCGGAGGCGAGGAAGACGCAGAGGCCGTTGAGGTCGTCGACGGCGCCGAGGCG